AGAACCACGACAGAGAAATTGACAATCTTCACCGCATTAATAAATAAGAAATTTGTCGTGTTTACTGTCATCAACGTGTACAATAATAGTGTACACGAAAAAGTAAACGATGATGTTGGTGTACGAGAAAGAATATGGACTGTTATAAAATGTGGTGTATGAAGACGGTGTACATGGTAAAATAGGTGATGCTGTTAGTGAACGACAACCCGTGTACATGGTAAAATAGGTGATGGTGTACACGGCAGAGTAGATGATGTTGTTGGTGTACGATGACGGTGTACAAGACGGAGTAGACGATGGTGTTAGTGTACGAGACAACATATGTGGCGTTGTAAAATATGGTGTATGCGCGGTGTACATGGTGGAATAGGTGATGGTGTTTGTGTACATGGTGGAATAGACGATTGCGTTGGTGTACGAAAACGATGTATATGGCGGAGTAGATGATGATGTTGGTGTACGAGATGGAATATGGAAATTATAAACGACAATAGCAAGGATGGTAAATAAGATGATAGGGTCTAGGTATATGGTATGGGAATTAAGATTGGCAACAGCGGAGTAAACGATGGTGTTTGATTTTTTATGTATGTACGTACTGCGTACGTCATCTTTCTCTATGGATGTATGTATAACATCCCTATTAATGTATACGTGATTTCGTGAAATGTATGACCCTTTGAAACATAATCCATATACACATGCAGTAAGCATGACTAATGACACAAGTTTATTTGATTTCATGTACATGTGGTTGCATTGAGTGTATATGATATTCATACGTGCATATTGTTTACTATTCGCGTACTCTCAATTATATATGTACGACGTTCTTATTTGATAGTGTATGTACATAAAGTACATGATAATGTACGTATATTTTTTGATATGACGTAAAGCAGAAACATTGGTGATATAAAGCATAAGTATTAAATGCAACCCAACCAGACAAAAAGTAAGGGTATAATTGAAAGTACACAGCTATGTAAACCGTCTTCGTACTCCAACACCATCATATATTCCGATGTGTACACCGTCGTCTTATATCAACACCATCGTCTATTCTATCGTGTATACCATCATCGTACATTAACACCATCGCGTATTCTACCGTGTACACCGTCCTCATCCACCATATTTTACAACTCCCCATATTCTGTCTCGTACACCAACACCATCGTCTACTCCGCCGTGTACACCTTCTTCGTACACCAACACCATCATCTATTTCGCCGTGTACA